ATTGAAAGAAATCGGTTCGGTGAGAGCTGAGAAAAAGTGGTAACAGACACAAAAAAAAAAAAAAAAACACATCTTAGTAAAACCAATACCTTCTCAGCTTCGCATCGAAGCTAAAATTAATAAATTACAAAGTAAAATTATTTACTTTTGTAATTGAATACTTTTATCATATCAAATCTAATTCGACAATGAATACTTAAAGAATATTAGAAATTAATGATCTTAATTGTTTGTACGGAAAAAGCTGGTTAAGGTACTTTTTATTTGAATAAGGAATACATTTTCAATTTTTAAGAGTAATAACTTAAACTAAATACGAATTGTAAACATTTGACGTATTGTTGAAATAATAGGTCTAGTGAGGGTTGGCAAAATAAATCGTAGCCACAAAAAGAACCACATGGTAAAATAATATTTACATGAATATAAATTTCTTCTCATGAGGGGAGACTGTAGTGAAAGGATCCTTTATATTTATTGAAGTTATTAAATCTAAATGAGATAAATATCAAATGATTTGAAAATGTTATTCTAACTTAAAAAAAATTCAAAATATTAATTGCCACAGACGGTTTGAACCTCTTACCGTTAGCATGAATGACAAAAAGTGTTACCGACTCGGCAACTGTTCGTTGCTTTCGCAACTTGAAAAAATTGACTATTTAAGCTAACTCAAGTCTAAAAATTACTTTTTCGACTTTAAAAAAGCAAAAAAAATTAATAAGTTTAATTTCTTATGAACTTTATTCTATGTCAATTAAATTATAAAATATTTATGAAATTCAGTGTATTGCCCTTATAAGATATTTTAAAATAAAATAAAATACAAAACCTAGAATTTTAATAGAAAAATAGCATATTTTTGAATACGGTAGCCATTTGCGCATAGAAGATAGGTCGTATCAAAAAAACTGATATCAAACGAAAGGAAATTACCTAAGGTTTCAATATAAAAAAATATTATTTTGATTTGTTAATATTTGAAAAAGTTATGGCAGTTTTAAGAACAAAAACATCCTTATAGAAGGTGATTTTTATCGCAAATATTACATTTTTTTTTAAATTTCGACATCAATTTGCACATAGTAGATAAGATGTCGGAACAAATTTTTTTTTTCATTACATAGTACATAAAATAAGCTTTAATTTGATATATGTTTAAAGGACGCAGTATTTTCGGAACATTTTCAAAAGTTCAGTTGAAAAAGTTCTATTTTTTATACAATGTTTCAAAGTTTGAACCCCCCCTATATAAGGGGAAATTGTCTAATTTTAATAAAAAGTATGTCAAATGGAAGATGTACTTATAATGTATTTAGAAAAAAAAAAATTGTGCTGATACATACATTTTTCGAAAAGTTATAGCATTTTTAAGTTGAAAATTAAAAATCGAAAATCGAAAATTTTAACACAAAAATAGTGTTTTTTTAACTACGGCAACCGTTTACATGCAGAAGATAAAGTGTCGGGACAAATTTTTTTTTTTCGTTTTATAGTACATAAAATAAGCTTTAATTTGATATATGTTTAAAGGACGCAGTATTTCCGGAACATTTTCAAAAATTAAGTTGAAAAAGTTAGTTTTTGTAAAAAAATTGCTATTTTAAATCCCCTTTGTGAGCAGAATAAGTGTTAGATTTTCAAGAAAATGATATCAAATGAAAAAGAAATATCTAAGGTTTTAGTATTAAAAAAAATTATGTTGATTTGTTTATTTTTGAAAATGTTATGGAAGTTTTAAGAAGAAAAAGTGAAAAAAATGACAAAATTTATTGATTTTTAAATTTGTAACTTTTTTGGAGATTTCCCTTATTTGCGGGGAACGAGGGAAAATTTTTCAATTTTTAAAGTTAATGTCTTCGACTAGATACGATTTGTGATCTTTTGACGTATAGTTGAAAGAAATCGGTTCGGTAAGAGCTGAGAAAATGGGGTAGCAAGCACAAAAAAAAAAACACATTATAGTAAAATTAATACCTTCTCAGCTTTGCATCGAAGCTAAAATTATATTAATTTGGTTATTTTTAAAAAAATTATGGCAGTTTTAAGTAAAAAAATTCCCGCTGGGGGATCCGCAAGGATCACGGGCTTAACAACCCCGAAGACCCTAGTTAATTCAGTGGGGGTGGAAACACGTACCACTGCTCCTAGCCGATCATTACTTTGGTTAGTTGGGGCCGGTAGGCCTGGGCCTACCTGCTCGCTAACAGCATATAGGCCCCCCTAATCCAGCCATACCAAGTGAAAGGGTTGCTAACTTGTCACAGGGTAGTTAGCCGAAAGGTAAAGTGACCATTGGGATCCTTTATGGCACCTGGCGCACCATAGAGTATACAGCCTTATCACAGTATCGAGCTCTGCTGTGATGGACCTTAATTCTCGACTACTCGTTGGAACTATATGGATAAAAACATACAAACACCACAAAATAATGAACTTGTGACGAACAGGGATCCTATGGACAAACTGTCGGAACAAGAGCGTGAACTAACGATTCTTCGCAATGAGAATCGTTGTACTTGAAGGTTTCAATGCGAACAACGGGACACTTGGTGAACCGTTGTTCATCAATTACAAATTTAAAAATCACTGATTTTCGACATTTTTTCAATTTTTTTATTTAGTTTTAGTTTTAGTTATTATCGAGGTGGACATAATGCCCATGCACTCAGACCTGTTGGTCCATTGTGCGCACCTCATACCGAATTGTCTTAATTCGGTTTACTCACCTAAGTGTTATCACCGAAGTGTTAATATATTATCAACCATAAAGTCACCTCTACAGATGACCAAAGAGTCCTATCTTTCTGGCGAAATTAAGAATCTCTCTGGGTTTTAGGTTTTTAATATCTTCTTTTTTAGGAAAAGGTTTACTCAAGTAGTTTGATCTTATTGTGGACAAGGCTTTACATTCGCACATGATGTGAAATGAGTCTTCCTCTTCTACTCCACACTTCCTGCACAATGGTGATTCCGATACCCCTATTGCGTTAAGATGTTTAAGCAGGTGACCATGTCCTGTCAGTAGACCAGTCAGGGTGCTTATTTGATGTCTAGTCGTGCTATCAAGATCACCCAGCAATAGACCAGGGGTCTTGATAAACATTTTAGATTGTCTAGGTACTACCAAGTACTTACAGATTTTCTTGTGTTGTTCTCTGCACCAATTCTTGGGTAGCGCTTTGAGCGATTGCTCAGTGAGTCCTGCCACTAGTTCTGGTCCAACATAGGTGTTCTCTACTCCTTTCCTGGCTAGAAAGTCAGCATTCTCATTTCCAGTGACACCGTTGTGTCCGGTACCCACGCTAGTGTAACTTTGTTGAACCTCAATAGTGATTCTAAAGTTTCCCTGCATTCGAAGACCAGCTTTGAATTCACCTGATCGTTACAGAGTGCCTTCAAACCCGCTTGACTATCACTTAAGATAGTTATCTTCCTATTTTTGTATACCAACAGGTTCTGAGCCCCTACCAGTATCGTCATCACCTCTTCTTGGAAAGCAGAGGGTGTTGTGCCCAATGACATACTAACATTTATTCGCGGCTTTAAACCCCAAATTCCAGCACCTACCTTTCCTGATTTTTTGGATCCATCTGTATATATCACAAATCCTCCTTTTTCAGTCAGGTGGTTAATATTCCATTCTCTACGTGTAGTGATTTCCACTTAGTAGGGAATGTTATTCTTAAGAACCGGTTTGATATAGTCCAAGGGGTATTCCAAAAAGCCCTGGTCTATCTCTTTTAGTATTTTACTATGTTCTGTTGTATTACTCTCCAAAGTCCACATACCTAAGTTGTAGAATCTTAGTGCTGTGACTTTGGCGTGAGCTTTAACCTCTAGATGCAGAGAAGGCAATCCGATTAGTGCCTCTAATGCGACCGTTGGTGTAGTTCTTAATGCTCCAGTGATGGCCATAGTAGCCATTCTCTGTATGCGACTAAGTTCTTTCCTAGCTGTAACGAATGATGTTCTGATCCACCAGACTAGGGCACCGTACAATAAGGTTTAATCACTGAAGTGTACAACCAATACATAACTCTTGGTTTAAGACCCCATGTCTTTCCCAAGGCTCTGCTGCAAGTCCACAATGTGGTCATTGCTTTTTTGATTCTTGACTCAACATGTGATTTCCATTTTAGCTTACTATCTAAGATAATACTTAAGTATTTTACTTCTGATTTTAAGCTAATTTTTTGTCTATTTAGAGTAAGAGTGTTAAGACTGTCTAGTCCTATTCTCCTTCTAGTCAACATAACAACCTCTGCTTTATTTGGATTAACAGATAGACCATACTTACCACACCATATCTGTATAGTTTTTAGTCTCTGTTGTGCTAAGTCTATAATAGTTTCTGGAAATTTACCCACCACTCCTATAACTAAGTCATCCGCATAGGCTTGTGTATAACAGTATTTGTTTAACTCTCTAATAAGCGAATCCAATACTAGACACCATAGCAAGGGGGATAGAACCACGTCTTGTGGGCATCGCTGTTTAACACTCTTGATTATTTTGGTCTCATAATGTCCCAAAATGGAGCGTTCCTTAAGCATGGATTCTATCCACTTAGTAATAAGTAGTTCTATTCCATGCTGTTGTGCAGATTCGCTCATAGCATCGAAGGGAGTATTTTCAAAAGCCCCTTCGATGTCCAGGAGTATACCTACTGCATACATTTTATTCTCCACAGCTTTCCCTATCTTAGTGGTTAAGCAGTGTAGAGCTGTATCAGTAGATTTCCCCGTTTGATACGCATNTATAAATGCATATGTGTGTATGTGTGAGTTTATTTATTTATTGTATCTGTTGTGTTGTATTATGTGGCAACACTGTTTTGTTTGTTATAACCTAACCAACTTGATTACACATTATGTCATATAATTAATATGTTATGTTTTATTGTAATATTAAAAGTGTTTAGTGCAATAAAGAGATACATAACAAAGTGGCGACGAGAATAAAAAATAAATAAAATGATGAGTGTAGCAGTCGGAAATATGGAGGCATTTGACCCAAGCGACGACGACTGGGAATCTTATATGGAAAGATTCGACATATTTGTAACGTGCAATAATATAGTGACAGCGAAACAAGTTCCAACATTGTTGGCAGTAGTAGGTAAAAATACATATAAAATACTAAAAGACTTATGCACGCCTAAAAAGCCGGATGAACTGACTTACAAACAAATTAAAGAAAAGTTAGGATCATATTTTGACCCAAAACCACATTTCATATCTGAAAGAATCAAATTTAATAACAGGACTCAACAGAAAGGGGAAAGCATCCAGCAATATGTTAGAGAGCTAAAAAAACTATCCAATCACTGCAATTTTGGAAATACACTTGTTGAACACCTAAGAGACCGATTAGTAAGCGGTGTAAAAAGTGAAAAACTTAAACGTCGTTTTAGATTATTAAAAGAGGAAGACCTAACTTTTGATAATGCGTTAAAAGAAGCATTACAAGAGGAGTTAGCAGATAAAGATACAGATGGACGAAGCGAAATAGAAGAACTCAACTATATAAAAAATGAAAGGTACAAGCTACAAAGTAATTCAAACAATGTAAACCAGTGGAATACCAAAAAACAGTTTTACATTAGGAAAAATGAAAATAATGTGAACAATATGAAAAAAGGACTTTGCTCGTGTTGTGGAAGAAACAATCACACATTCTCACAATGCAGGTACAAGGAGTATTCGTGCAACATATGTAAAAAGGTTGGTCATTTATCTTATGTTTGTAGAAATAAGAAACCAAAGAAAATAAATTATATGTCTGAGGTGAAAGTAAGCAATAGCAAAGAAAGTGATGATAGTATGGATGAGTTAGCCGAAAGTTTTAATAAATTATATCATATTAAAAATATTGACAAGGCAGATAAGGGAACAGGTCCCATTAAATTGAAGGTCTTGGTGGAAAACAAATTGGTAGAGATGGAACTGGATACAGGAGCTTCAGTTTCCATCATATCTGAAAAAGACTATAATGAAAATTTTAAAAAAATTAAAGTTAAAAACAATGGATTAAAACTTCAATATTATACTAAAGAAACAGTCGAAACATTAGGATATATTAATGTTGAAGTGAAATATAATAATAAAAATTTCAAAGGTAACTGGCATATTATAAAAGGAACTGGTCCAATGTTAATAGGTAGAGAATGGATACAGAAAATGGGTGTTTTACCAGAAAGCCAATCAAATGTCACTAAATTACAAAATATATTTAATGTATCAGATATTAAATATATTAATATGGAACAACAATTATTTAATAAATACCCAGAGGTATTTACAGACAAATTAGGACTGTACAATGGAGAAAAAATAAAGATTTTATTACAAAAAAATGTGACACCTAAATTTTTACAACATAGAGCTGTACCACTAGCATTAAAAAACAAAATTGAACTTGAATTAGACAGATTGGAAAAAGAGGGTATAATCAATAAAGTCAAATATAGTGATTGGGGAACACCAATAGTACCAATAGTTAAACCATCAGGTGATATAAGAATATGTGGAGATTATAAAGTAACTGTAAATCCTTATATTAAAGTAGAAAGAGCCCCTGTTCCAATTATAGAAGAGTTAATGGTTGGAATTAAAACGGGAGGGAAGTTTTCGATCATAGATCTAAGCCAAGCATACTTACAATTCAGTTTAGAAGAAAAATCAAAAGAGTTAACGGCCATAAGCACGCATAAAGGTGTTTATGTGTACAACAGAGTTCCATTTGGTATAAATGCATCAGTTGGAATATTTTTAAATAGATTTAGTGAAAAGCTTAAACACATTAATAACATTAAAATATATTTTGATGAAATATTAATATTTGGGGATAATGAGCAAGAACATTTGAAAGCCCTAGAGGAAGTATTAACTTTATTAAAGAAGATGAATTTAACAGTACGGAAGGAAAAATGTATCTTATTCAAAGAACAAATTAAATTTTTAGGCTATATTTTTAGGCTACAAAGACGGGTGCAAGCAAGATCCAGCTAAGATCAAAGCTATTACTCAAATTCCAAATCCAAAAAACAAAAAACATTTGCAAGCTTTTTTTGGATTGATTAACTATTATAGGAAGTTTATACCTAACTTAGCAACCATTCAAGCACCACTTACCAATTTATTGAGAAAAAATACCAAATTTAATTTTAATAATAACTGTGTGAAGGCGTTCAATCAAATCAAAGAAGAGATAACATCAGACAGGGTCCTAAAGCATTTTGATCCAAAACTACCAATTATATTAACGTGTGACGCATCAACTTATGGACTTGGCGCTATATTATCACAAGTCAATGAAAAACAACAAGAGCACCCTATAGCGTTTGCTTCAAGAACTCTGAATATTGCTGAGAAAAATTATAGCCAAATAGATAAAGAAGCCTTAGCAATTATATTTGGTATCCACAAATTTAACAATTTTGTATATGGAAATAAATTTACAATAAGATGTGATTGTAAACCGTTAATCAGCATTTTTGGATCTAAAAAAGGAATTCCAACAACGACAGCATCGAGACTACAAAGGTATGCTTTATTCTTAACAAATTATGATTTTGATATACGGTTCACCAAATCCGCAAGCAACAGTGCTGACGTCTTATCCAGAATGCCACTCAAAGTAGAAAAAGCAAATACACCAGAAATAACATACTTACACTATATAGATGAAATGAGAATCATGGATGCTGCTTTAGTGAAGACAGAAACAAATAAAGACCCGATATTAAGTAAGGTAAAATACTATATACAATATGGGTGGCCTGAACAAGTGCAAAAAGAATTAGAACCATTTAAACTAAGAAAAGAATTATTAAACTTGGAGCAAGAAATCATTATATGGGGTCACAGAGTAGTAATACCAGAGACACTCAGAGATAAAATGCTAAAGGAACTCCATCAAAATCATTTAGGCATAGTTAAAATGAAGTCTATTTCAAGAATGCACATATGGTGGCCTGGCATCGATAAAGACATTGAGAGCACAGCAGGAAAATGTGGAAAATGCATGAATGTGAGATCAATGCCTAAAAAAACATCTCTACATACATGGGAATGGCCAGAAAGACCTTGGCAAAGGTTACATGCTGATTTTTTAGGACCATTTAAGGGTAGCTTATTTTTAGTTATTGAAGATGCATACTCAAAATGGATAGAAGTATTTCAAGTACCATCAACAGCAGCTCAATATACCATCAACAAGTTTAGAGAGCTATTCGCTAGATTTGGTATAGCAGAATATTTAGTTACAGACAATGGACCACCATTTTTATCTTTAGAGTTTAAAGAATTTTTAGCTAAAAATGGTATTAAACAAAGAACATCATCACCATACCATCCACAAAGTAACGGCCAAGCAGAAAGTGGAGTTAAAATTATTAAATCATTTCTTAAAAAAATATCTTTTAAAAATGTTAATCTACAATTAAATCAATTTTTATTTGACTATAGAATTGCAATGCATACTACAACAAAAGAAAGTCCTGCTACATTATTATTTGGAAGGAATCTTCGTAACAGGTTTGATTTAATTAAACCTAATATTCGAAGTACAGTATGGGAAAATCAAGAAAAACAAAAGACCAATAAAACAGTTAGACATTTTGATATTAATGAAAAAGTTCTAGTAAGGAAATATACAGGAGAGAAATGGACAAAAGGAAAAATTATAAAAATATTGGGAAATGTCATGTATCTTGTGGAACTACCAAGTGGTGTTACTTGGAAGAGACATGCCAACCAAATTCAGAAAGTTAAATATATATATATAGGTTTCTTTGGTCTACTTGAACATCTATGATTTTGTATATTTTTGTTGAATTGTTTTCTCTTATAGTGCTCTGCTCTTTTGTAGTTTCAACCGTTTCCTCTTTTGTTATTTTATCTTCTTTTACTTCTTCTGCTATTTTTTCTTCTTTAACTTCTTTTGCATCTTCCTCTTCAATCTCATATTTAACTTTCTTTAAACTTTCTTTCTTTAAACTTTTTTAGTTTAAAATTCCTTAGATTTAACCCCTTAATCTGGTCACCATTTATCCATGGTTCCTGAATAAGAGCTTTTTGTATGGGTGTTGTATGCCTCTCAGTTGGAGTCCTTAGTAACACGCTACTGGCATCCTTACTGTGATGCAGGTTTATCTGAGTGAATTGAATTCTATTGTCCGAGGGTCTAAGTTTTAGATCCTCGATTTTGTCAGCTACTGCTCCCAGTTGATCTTGCGGCTCCTGGTCTGCATAAGTTGACTTTGATGTCTTTTTGCTAGTAGACGGTTCACCAAGTGTCCCGTTGTTCGCATTGAAACCTTCAAGTACAACGATTCTCATTGCGAAGAATCGTTAGTTCACGCTCTTGTTCCGACAGTTTGTCCATAGGATCCCTGTTCGTCACAAGTTCATTATTTTGTGGTGTTTGTATGTTTTTATCCATATAGTTCCAACGAGTAGTCGAGAATTAAGGTCCATCACAGCAGAGCTCGATACTGTGATAAGGCTGTATACTCTATGGTGCGCCAGGTGCCATAAAGGATCCCAATGGTCACTTTACCTTTCGGCTAACTACCCTGTGACAAGTTAGCAACCCTTTCACTTGGTATGGCTGGATTAGGGGGGCCTATATGCTGTTAGCGAGCAGGTAGGCCCAGGCCTACCGGCCCCAACTAACCAAAGTAATGATCGGCTAGGAGCAGTGGTACGTGTTTCCACCCCCACTGAATTAACTAGGGTCTTCGGGGTTGTTAAGCCCGTGATCCTTGCGGATCCCCCAGCGGGAATTTTTTTACTTAAAACTGCCATAATTTTTTTAAAAATAACCAAATTAATATAATTTTAGCTTCGATGCAAAGCTGAGAAGGTATTAATTTTACTATAATGTGTTTTTTTTTTTG